TTATGGCAGCAGATCCACAACTGCTTTGTCCCTCAAATTTGGAATGAATTTAAGGAAATGAACTTTATATTGAAAGGTATTATTTCTTGTCAAGTGAGGGATGTCAGAATTCCTTATTCACCACAGTTGGATACATTCTCAGCACAGTGTCTTGACTGTCTCCCCAAGTAAAACCTAGAAAAGCTTCATTTGAGCTCCAGTGAAAAACTTTCAGAAAACTTGGGGATCTGAGGAATACAGCTTGTCATAGATTTGCTGTATTTCCAGCATCCTTTTGTCAGCTGTTATTGTAAAGATGGGCGATGACATAAATCACTGCTTTGTGGTTGGAAACAACTTGCAATATAATTTGGATTTAACATTATATTCCAATGTTGCCTTCAATATTGACACACACAGTTTCTGAAGGAAAGATGGAATTTACAGAATATAGGCTCTTTTAAATTTTTGTTTTTACTGAAGATATCAATGTAGTTTTGTGTATGGTGTTCTTTTTTGAGTAGTGCCCTATTTCAGTACGACTACCTGCTTCTTAGTAAGTGATTAGAAATGTAATTGACACATGATTGTATGTAGTATGACATTAAGGTGTGGCTTAAAAAAAAAGACATGGTGATGAACTCGAACCCTCAAACCAAGTTTCTACTGAAACTTGAGAGCTGCTCTGCTGAGAGCAATTGGGGAGGACTGTGCTGATGGATCTGGTGACAGGAGGTTAATGCTGAGTTACCAGCGTGATTCTCAGGCGGGTGTGGAGAAGCATTTTCAGTGCAGCAAGAACAGCTTAGTGCTGTTACATACAGCTGTAAAATCTTACCTGGAGTGCTGCATACAAGCCCAGCCACTCATAATTGAGAAACATGAACTGAAACTACAGTGAATACAAACAAGGCTGGATTGTTTTTTTTTTTTTTTCCTAATACAAAAATATCCTGAAACAAACAGCAGGATGAGGAATAAGAACCCAGGGTTGCAGTGTTGACAGGACAGTGGAGCCTATTCTTCAACTATCACAAGCAACACGTTCCTTTTCCCCAGCTCAACTGAGTTCCACTCTAAAAATAGTTGGGATGCTGACTTGAGCCGTTTCCTTTAGAAAGCTATTCAGAATGCATGGTTAGAAACAGTTCAGGATCAGAGGTTTCACAGAGTGTAAATTGAGACTGCACTAATGTTTCTGAATTTGCTGTTTAACTTGTTTTGGTCAGTATGAAGGACTTTTAATCTGAGTTCTTTTTTTAAGATCATAAAGCTTTTACTTACTAGAATTTATTTTCTTGCCAGTAATTTTAAAATTTTGTGAATTTTCAGTAATAAACAGCTTTATCAAAGCTGTTTATTTACAAAGTTGTTCTCAAATCTGACAGAAGTAGAGGAAGTATTGCACCAGGATGTAGTGTTATGCCTTATTGCTGAGTTGCAGAGTAGCTGTTATCTAAAACCAGAAATCCAGCATTTGACAGTTTGTGTGTACTGGACAGCTTTAATCTGCTCTGCCCTGGAAATACCTCAGTTATCTCAATGGTACCTTGTAAGTACACACCCACATTTTCATTGTAACCTTTCTATCACAGATAGAATGAAGGTCATCTGTTCTATTTGAAGGTGTAAACAAGATTGCAGTAATTTTTATTCTTGTTTTAAAGAAAATTAAACAAAAAAGGAGCTTAACTATATTTTCTTTTACACGGGTTACACCATGTTATTTGCATCAGACAGATTTTTAAAGAATTCAATTACCCTGTATATATGATACCTGATTTTTAAAAATGGGTGCCTAAAATTAGATGTCTCTAGCTGTAGCCTTGGTCTAGTTTTCAGAGGAACTGGAAGCTTAGAGGATTCTCTTTCAGCACTGGCATTGCTTTTTCCAATACTGGCAGGACGAGCTGTGTCAGAGTACTCTGAAAACCCAAGGCTGTACTCAGTTTTTGTACTTCCTGTTTCAAAAATATACCAACTTGTTTTTATTAAATCTTAATAATATTCTTTAGAATTATTTAAAGGACTGAGTTCTTCATCAAAACATTTTCTTCTTTGAGGCATCCTTTAGAAAATTGGAGTGGTAAGCTCTATTCAGGTTTAAGATTGGAATTCAGAGATCTAGTTATGAAATCTCATTTTCAGTGCCTGTATTTTGGGTGTTGCTGCTGTGTGTTTCCTGAACAGAGAATGAGCTGGGTTGCCACTTTGAGACTTATAGCACTGTTGTACTTCTGGGAGGCACCTGGAAGTCACCCAAATGCCATATTCAGACACTTGGTTATACTTGTTTTTCTTAAATCTGAAATGTCTGACTATACCAGAAAAATAACCCTTTCAGTTTATATTTATCAATATTTATTGGAAAGTCTGTATTTCATGAATAATACATTGTTCTCTACTGTGATTTGCTCATTTGGATGCAGTATTGTTACTTAGATTTATCAGGGCCATCATCACTACCTTCATTTTCACTTTTCCCTTTCTCTTAGGGTAGCCTTGATATTTTTATTTTTTTTTTTTATTCTTTTTTTTTGACTGTGAGTCTTAAAAGCAACAAATCTACAAATGGTAGCTTAAAGAAATAGGTCAGCTATTGTCCAATGAAGTAGATTTAGAAAACAGAATGTCATGCTTGCTTTTTGTTTCATTTCTGTCTGACTCACATTTTTAATAGGCATAGGCACCCAGGATTAAGGAAGCAGTGTTGGGCCACTGATGCCTTGTTCAGGAGCAAATAAAATGTGTGGATTTGTTTTGTTTTGACCCTGCAAAGGCTTGGAGAGTTAAAACTTTTCTGCTGTTCAATTCCTCTCCTGTAAGATTTCCAGCATTTTTATAAGTGCTTTGGTCTTATCTTACTGTATTGTAATTGTAGTGCTAAATCTTACAAACAACTTGATCCAAGGCACTGTGGGCTGAAGGTGCATCTGACCTAAATAAACACCAACCTTATGAGAAGGGAAGTTGTGCCCTTGGCCTCTGACTGTGAAGGAAACATCGTGTTTGATGAGCTCATGGACATCCACTGTAGGCAGGAATCTTTCTTGTGTGTGTTGTCACCTGGAATTTGTTTGATTCAAGGCAGGATGCAAACAGTCAACATGTTTGTGTCTTTCCACACGTGTTGACAGCATAGTCCAAAGTAGATCCTCAAGAGCTCATTATATAAAACACAATTACCCTTGGGGGATGTGTGAAGGGGATACAAAGCCTGATAACTTTTACAAATCAAGTGGATTCAAACTTGAAAAAACAGCCCATCCCACTCTACCCACCCCTCCCTCAAACAAAAAAAATCACACTGTCAATAATGCTTTTCTCTTAATTTTAGAGTAAAACTTGCAGACCATATAATTGATGCAATACATATTACTCTAATCAAGCTGTTTTAATGGATTTAATTTTCTGTTAATAAGATATAAAACATAAGTCTTGAAATTTACATAAAATATGCTCGTGTTGATCTGAATTCAATTTTAAATTGTTGAGACTAGATTACTGCTTATTATAATCAGACATCTCTTCATGACCTAATAAATGCAATTATTTTCCAGATCTGTTTTCTCCTGTTTGCTGTTCTCTACATAGTTTCCTACTTTATAATCACCAGATACAAAAGGAAAGCAGGTAAGCATAGAATTTTTAATATGTCAAAAAATTGTTTTTCAGATAAATAGATGATTCTTTTCCTGTCCGTCTCCACAAGGAAAGTGGAAGAAACAAAACTTTGTTAGGCTACTGGTCTATGGCAGCCTGGATTGACCTGATGGTGTATGGTAGCCTAAGTGTAAACTGTTTTGAGATGAAGAAAGGGGTTAATGTTCAAGTAGATGCTTCTGCTTCCCTTGCCTTGAGATCCTGTTGTTCTTTCACATCTGCTTTTCCAGAATATGTATCTTTAGCAGCAAAATTGGGTTCTGAGCTTTTGCTAGTCAAGTGAAGGGTCACCAGAAGGGAAGTAGCATTATTTCTTCAAAAAGTCCTGCTCTGATCAGGTACAGTTATTATTTCAGTTGTCTTAATCTGTTTCTTATGAATTCACCATTGAAGTTTAGAAAATACCTTGAGATAATGCTCTTATTTTTTTTTCCCTTTGGAAACATTGTCTAGTTTCCATTGTAAAACTAGTCTGTAGGAAGCCCTGTCATTTTCTTTGATATTTTTTCTAAAGACAAATAGCATAAAAATCGTTATAAAATCAGAATATTTGACTCTTGACAGCTTATCTGAGACCTTGGAGCTTGAGAATAGGCTGTAGTAACATTCTTGTATATGGTGATCTTGGTGCTTTGAGCTTTACTGGAAGCTGTTTATTGAGTGACATGTGTTATTTAGCTGTTTTCATAGATGGATTCATGTTTTAAAAAGTAAACTTTCCATGGAATTTAATTCCTTGATAGAAAGTTACATCTCTGTAAACATGGGAAGTAAGACAGATACTATCTTCTGATCCTGATATGTATTTTGGATATTACAAAGCTGCTACTATTTGGAAATGGAGAAGAACAGGAAGGGGAAACTGATTTGGCAAACACTGTTGGATGCAAAGACACTTTTATTACCTTTTGTTGGCAGTTATCTGCTCACCTAGGAAGAGGAGACAGCTCTCTGCAGCTGTCCTGACTTCATGAAAGCTTTTTGAGCATGTTCCTAGGCACACTTTGTAGCCTGATGAGAAATGTTTGAAGAGTTAACACATCTGGAACTCTTTCAGGACAAATTGTTCGCTGCTTTTCCAAGAAGCTTTTTAGCCAAAATGATTCATAGGAGACCTTGACTTAGTCTTTCAAAACACCATGAGGCATCCATCAAAAAAACAACCACCCCAGGTCCTTTCACAGAAGAGTTTTAAAATAGCATTATTTTTGTTATTTGCTGTGTGTTTATTTCAACTGTTAAGAACTCTTAGGAGCTGTAATGACTCTTAAGAACTTAAATGAAATTTATTTTAAAATTTAAATGAAGTCAGGTGTTTGCTCTCCTATGGAAAATAGGAAAAACTTTAGAATGCTGAGTGTAAAATTATTTCAAATTCAGAAATTTTTGTTTCAAAATGCCTACATTATTTCAAATTTAGAAATGCTTACATTTGTGTACTGATGTACATAGAGAAGGGTGTAAAGAATAAATGATGTGTTAATGATTAATCTAAGTTAAATGTTGATATTGTTTCAAAAATATTGTTTTAGCAAAGTATTAAGTGAGGAGTAAGTGAATAAAACAGTCTAAAATGTGAAGTATCAGAAGGAAGTCATGGTATCTTAAATCCAAAACAAATAACAAGAATATATAACCACCTCTCCTTCCTCCCCTCCTCCAAATCCCCAAGAGCTGGGAAGAGGGGTAAGTAAAGGGAAGCAACTGAGTAGTCACCACTATTGTTCTGGGTATGCTTTCTTGTTTTCAGAAGACATTTGTACTGCAAATGATGTCTAGCAGTAGTTAGTGTGGACTCTCGGATATTCCTGTGGCTTGCCTGCTCTCTGTGGTTCCAGAGATGCCCAAAGGGGCAGTTTCTAGCTGTAGAAGTCTGAAAGCCTGTTTGCTATAGAGGTGTCCAAGAAGTTTTGATCTGCATATTCAAGTAACGTGAAATAACTTTGTTACATTGATTGAAAAGAATTTGACTAGCAAAAAACAGAGTGAGAATATTAAGTTTTGGAAGGAACCTTCTTAAAATATTTATGTTCATAAATTGTATCAGTACATATGAATTTTAATTGTAAATTAAAATTATTCCTATTTATATACATTTTAGCCTGAAGAAAGACAAGTGAGTATTGAATATAACCTGATGTAATTTGATTTTCAGATGAGCAAGAGGATGAAGATGCCATCGTTAACAGAATATCGTATGTATAGCTCTTGGAAGAACTTCTTTTCCTGAATGAATTGTTATGATAGGAATCTTCTATGCTTCCAAATAAATAATAATCTGTTTGAAATATTTGAATGCATTTTAAATAGATTGCTGGGGGTCAGGGAAAAAGATTTGGTCTAATGGTACCTTGAGTTATGAAAAGTGTTATGAAAATTTGGTCTAGGCCTTTTTTCACCTATAGTTGTGCTGGTAGGTGTGAAGTTGGCCCGAATATTGTATGAGGACCAGATGCAAGAGGTGGAATTGAATGCAAGACCTGCATTTAAATCTCTGAAATGTAGGTGTTTAGATGGGAGGTGGTGTAATTTGCCACAGCAGTCGATGGAAGGCCTGTGAGGAAAGTCAGCTCTCTCTGAAGAAGATATCCATGATTGCTGTAAAAAAGCTGCAGAAAGGTAACAAGTGGAAGACAAGCACTTGCCAGACCTGGTCTGCCAGCAGCTCTCTCCTTATCTTCTTCCTGTGTAAAGTTAGATATGAATATCTCCGATTTGAATATGCCTCAGGATGTACAGATCCTCCGTGGCTGGTGCTGCCCTCTCAATTACACGAGTGGCTGACCCGTGTGAATTGGCTCCTCCCGTGTTACTGTGTTCTTGGCTCTTCCCTGGTGGTGCTGTCATCCCCTTGGAAGGAGAGCTTAGAGAAAAGTGTTGTTGTAAATATAAAATGCTCTTTTTTCCTTCAGCCTAAGCTTCTTTAAACGTGCATGTTATTTTCCTCAGAGCAATAGCTCCCAAATATATGTAAATAGATTTTTCTTCGTGTGGCATAATTGTCAGGACTTGAGTTGTGGAGGGATGAGAAAACAAAGCCAAAGTGCTGTAGCACTTTGCTGTAGTTTGTTAGGTTTCCCAGTTCTGCCCTAGAATACTTAAACATCCTTAAATTAAAGAAAAAAATCTCGAAAGCCAACAACAATAACATAAGAATATTTTTGAAGTTAAAATTACTCATACTTTCTTTTCTAAGCATTGTATGAATGAAAAATGGATTTGTAGACTATTAAGGAAAAGTAAGATTTCTGTAAGCAGCTTACAGATGCTCCTGTTGTAGGGATGTTCTACTTATTTATGTTGTCATGCAGTTTTGAATTGAGAATTTTCTAATTTTATTATAGCATTAAATTAGTTCTGTAAGAATATTTTGTTGATCTTATTTTTTTTAAGGACACAGTTCTTTTTAATGCCACAAGGTGGCATTTGGTGTAAGTTGTATTTGGGATCTAAAAAGAATAAGCTTAACTATTTGAAATGTTTCTGACAATTTCGGTATATTTACTTTACATCTATGAGATGATAGAAAGCTTGAATAACTCCTTTGTGAAAAAAACTCAACTTTTTTTTCAGTTTGGTGTTCAAATATTTCTGTGTAATTGTGCTGACTAGTTGTTAGAATGGTGCTCTGCTTTTAAAAATTGTACTAAGAATATAGAAATTGAATCTTTTTTTCTTGTGTATTTGTCTATGTGGGAAATTAAAACTGATAGAGGAGACTTGTGAAAAGATATTTAATGAACTCCAGTAGTTTAACCTTTGTATTACAATGGAATTGAATGAATGCATGTGCCAAGAGAGTAATCATGGTAGTTGGTAAAAACTAATTTTTTATATTAGGTTCTGTAAACTATGTTAAATTTGCTTTCTGAAAATCATGTTTTGGAAATCCCAGTTTCTCCTGCCTGTTTACAATGTAAGAATGTGTTGCCTTTAGACATTGATTAACAGGTAGTTTAATTACTTTTTTCCCCTGCTGTTCAGAGCATGTTGGTGGTAACAGTGGTACATCTCTTTAAATTTCAGGCTGTTCTTGAGCACCTTCACTCTAGCAGTTTCAGCTGGTGCAGTCCTGCTTCTACCTTTCTCAATAATCAGCAATGAGATCCTGCTTTCTTTTCCACAAAACTACTATATTCAGTGGTTAAATGGCTCACTAATTCATGGTTAGTACTCAGCATAATGTAATTAAAATGGATGTCTTCATTATATGTGCACAGATACGTTCTTATTTTCAAACTGATAACTCATTTTCATTTAATATGCTAATTGTTAATATGCTGTTGACTCGTTGGTTTTGCTGCTGTGTGATGTATCACAAAAGTCTGTCTTAACTGTTCTGTTCTTTTTTTTTAAAGAATTTTGCAGACTTGATGGAATTAAACCAAATTTGCTGCTTCAAATATTAATGTGAATATAAGCTACTAGAAGCTAACTTGAAACATGCTGTTCACACTTCTTTATGTTAATGCAAGATGCATATGGCTTTCTCTTTATGATGATACCTATAAATTTATTCTCAATATAAAAACATGTTTTAAGAAACTTGCTAGCTGAGGGCAGCTTGGACTAGATGGTTAAATTCAGCTGTTAGTGATTTATGTGCAAACAAGGAATATTGTTGAACATAAGTATCATGATAAAGATGTGCAATAAAGTAACTGGTGAAAATAGGACATCTTTTCTAGGTTTGTCTGCAGAAAATATGTTCACTATGTGAAACAATTTAATCTGGTACAAACAATTTACAGGTTAACTGTGGTGTCCTCGTTAGTCTTTTGAAGAGAGAGCAATTTGGCTTTGGAGGATTTTTCTCTGCAAAGTGCATGCTTTTTGCTAAATGTCTAATAATATTCACACATAGCAAATTCATGAATTTCCAGATCCCTGACTTGTAATGATTTTTATTTTTTTGTTTGGGTTTCTCTTTTGTTTGGTTTTTGTTAAGAAGTGAGACGTGAGAAGTGATGTTTGTAAGACATAAAGAATTAATTCTTCACAGCAGGGATAGTTGAACAATGAAAAAAGTTGTCCAAAGACACTGGGAAATCTTGAAAGTTTTCTAAGACTCAGGTGGCCAAAGCCCTGAGCAGCCCGATGGCACCTGCAGTTTGCTTTTTAAGGACAGATCAGACTATGTGACTTTACAGGCTCTTCCTGGTTGTTATTTTATGATGTGTTTTGTGACACATCATGGGAAATTGCTGATTTGGTATGTCTCCTACGTGAAAAGAAAGAACCCAAGCTAAATCAAATTTTCATATGGATTTAGCTGCTCAGACATTTTTATTCTTTACTCCCAAATATGAGAAAAATTATTGGAAGATAACCCTTCCTTCTGTGTCTGAATTGTCTTTGGAAAAAGGGCAGTAAAATCCATCAGGGACTGAAAATTATATAATAACCAGTTCAGAAATTTTTACTCTCACTTGTTGCTTCAGAAAAATTTGTGTTAATAAGAAATGTGCTGGAATAGCTGCTGTTAAATAGTAAAGCCTTTGAACTTGGCGGTGAGCATCTTTAAATGTGATGACGTTTGAAAATAGCTCTCTGTGGATGCACGGTGTAATTGCTGTTTCCTGAGCAGCGGTACCAGGAGGCAGGTTCGGTGTTGCCAGGTGTGTGTGCCGCACGGGGACAGGTGCGATGGCCCCCGGGAGCCCCTTCGGGTCGGAGCCGTTCCCTGGCGCCAGGGCTCCCCCGCCTGGCCCCGGCCGGCATCGCCGCGCTCGGGGAATCGGAATCGCCTTCCCTGCCCTCCCTTGGAGAGCTCCCGGCAGCCGAACTCAGAACCGCTCTCATCCATCCCCGCAGCCTCTGCCTGCACAGCCTTCGTGTATAGTTTGTGTGCGCCTTTGCGAAGGTTGTCAAATCGGAGCGCTTTATTCTTTCTGGATTGATGATTTACAGCTGTCGTCCGATGTACTTGAACCTGACACTGAGGGTTCAGCAATCTGTTCTAGATTGTTGCATTACATCTGGGCAAATAAAACAGAAGATATATGACTTAAACTTTTGAAACTAGGCCGAAAGGCCGAACCTGGATCCAGTATAAACATCTAATTAATGAATGCTGAACTAATCCAGAACTGTTTCTGACAGTGGTGTTCCCTTGTGCTGCTTTTGGGTACAACCACCAGGTGGGGGTAAAACGTAATGAAACTGCCATGAGTAAGAAAAATGAGAAGTTGCTCAGGGTCTAATCTGTTTGCCAAAGACTGATAAATTTTTAATTTTTATGTTTTATTAACTTGTTTTATTGGGAACAGTCTTAGGTCACTACAAATGCAAAGGAAAAAAAATCGAATTGACTGCTTAAAGCTTTTCTGTATGTTGTTGTTTGCAAGTGTCTTCTTTGATTTTACGATGCAGTAAGTATAGTAGAAAATAATTCTTTTTCTGGGTCTATTTTAATTTGATTTCTGAACTATCAAATTAGGATAAGGAAGATCCTTACTTTGAGGGAAGTGCACGTGTCTGTCAGCAGCAAAACAGCACTGTCCTTGCCTCTCATAATTTTATGTGCATATTGTAGCTCTGTAGCTTAATATTCTGAAATGTGGTTCATATATGCTACTAATGTGAAAATTTCTGGACTTTAAAAAAAAATCATCCTGGATGTACACCAGTCTCCCCTCCCTTAAAATGCTCAGTGTACTCTGCAGCCCCTAAGCACTGCTCTATGTTGTAAGATACTCATGTAATAGAGCTGCTGAAATCAGGACAGGCAGGTATTCAGCTTTGCATTAGGTAACTGAATGCACTCTGTCTTCAGTTAGAGAAAACTGCTGAAATAAGACTCCTACCCCCATCAAGTTGTATATCTACTCTTCCTCTGGTGTCTCTTTTGGGGGGAAAGAAAAAAAAAAATGCAGACTGCTGGAGCTAATGTCCCCTTGTAAGGGCTGTTAATGACATTCCTGCTGATGTTGCTATGCCTGAATGTTTCTCGAATGGTAACAGGAGCTTCCTGGCAAAGCAAATTCAAAAGGAAAAATCCCCCTCTTTGTTAACTGGAGTTTAGCCACCTTTAGGCAGTCTGTTTTCTTTAGCAAATGAGTGTTATATTTCACGCATCTTTTGGAATTTTCTTGTTTTGTTTTCTGTAGCCTATTTGGCTGAGTTTGGTTGCTGATGTCCTGCTGCTGTCAATTGCTGAAGAACTTCTCTTGCCCCCTGTCCCCCTCCTCCCCTCTAGCTTTTATTTCTCCTTCAAATTTGAATGCTGTCATTTAAGGAAAAAGGTAGAAGCATTTTTTGAGATGGTATAGGCAAAAATCACTGTTTTTTAACATTTGGATCTAATTCAGAAATTTCTCTTGATAATAAATACCCCAGACATCCAGTAAATGTCTTCTTCCTTCCCTATTATTTACAAAACGACCAGTTTCAAAGAAGAAAAGGAACAAGCCTTGTACATGGGAAGAAGGAAACAAAGCTGTTAGTTCAATTTTTTTTTTTATCATAGGGGAATAATATTCTTTTTTGAGTGATATTCAGGTGATATAACAAAGTCCTGCAGAATTATGGAAATGTGTGTGCTTTGGGGAAGGTGGAGAATGAAACCTGTTTTTCTCTGGACTTTTTTTTAGGATGCAGAACATGTGACAATAGTTAGACCTGTTAGCTATTAAACTGCAGATAAGCATCTGCTTTTATAAAGAAGAAACTGCATCCTGCACAACTTTTGATAGGTGAATGATGATGGATTCATGTTTAGGCACCAGAAACTGGCTGTTCAGAAAGTGTTCAGCTTAGAATATCTTAATAGAGCAGATACCCTACTAGAGATCACTTCAGGTTGTTTTCTAAACCCTTTCTTTTCCTGCATATGTCACATGTGTCTTACAGGTGTCCTTGTTGTAGTCAGTTGTGGATTTTTCATGTAGATCATAGGAGGTTGAGGTTGGAAAGACCTCTGGAAATAACCTGCTCCAAGCAGGGTCAGTCAGAGAAGGCTGCTGAAGGCACTCCCCTTTTAGGTTTGACTATGTTGAAGGATGGAGGTTCCAAAACCTGTGGGCAGCCTGTTGCACTGCTTGAGTACAGTAGCAGTGGAAAATGGTTGGGATTTTTAGTTTGTTTGTTTTTTTCTTTTCTTTTATGAGTAAGTAGATATTCCAGTTTTTCAGGTCATGCTCATTGCCTCTCCTCAGTTCAGTGGATACTACGTGAAGATCTGACTCTGTTTTCCTTTCTTCCTCTCTATCAGATCCTTATATACATGAATAAAATCTCCTTAAGTCCTCTCTTCTCTGCTCTCTGTCCATTTGTCTGAGGTTCATCAGAGTTGCAGGACATTACTGCTCCCCATTTTGTCTCTTGAGCAGATTTGCTGGGGATGTGCCCTCTCCCATCACCCAGGTCACTAATGAAGGTATTTAACCCACCATCGACCCCCTGAGGTATCCATGCCACAGGTGACACAACCTTGGGAACCCAGAAGCTCAGCCAGTGTTCAGTCCACCTCAGAGTTCACTTGCCTTGCCCATACTGCCTTAATTAAACTCTGAGGGGCTTCATGGGAGATGATGTTGAAAGCCTTATAAAATTGAGATAAAAATATCTGCTGCTTTCCTCTTGCCTACTGAGCCAGTCATCCCATTGTGGAAGGCAGCTGTTACTATGATATCTTCTGATTTGGAGGTGATGTAAGCATTTGTGTATTGCTCATGTTAAAATCCGTAGTTTGCTTGAAAAAATATGGAAGAAAGGGAGTATACAGAATATGGATTTTGAGAGATTCACTGAGAGTAGTAAAATACTTTTGTCCTGAGAACAACAGTGGTTCTCTAAAGAACCTTCAATGAGATTGTGGAAGTGGTACACCCGAGCTTGCAGTCTGCCTCCCAAGGTTTCAGACATTTGCTGTTGAAAGGTAAGTTGTACCCAGGTTTTATTTGAAGATTATTATGTAGACAAATGGATGTTTTTCAGCAATGACCTGTAAATAACTATATCCATACCCCCCGGCACTTGTACATATGTTACATTGTTATATGTAAGGGAGGAAAGTGTAATATATTTAACTGTGAAACTTACTATGTAAACTTCTTGTTTTTTGCAGGTTTGTGGAATCTTGCCTCTCTTTTTTCAAATCTATGTTTGTTTGTGTTGATGCCCTTTGCGTTTTTCTTCCTGGAATCAGAAGGATTTGCTGGCTTAAAAAAGGTAGGAAAACACTATTAAATACAGAGTAATTACAGTGTGCATTTTACTTTCAGCCCTTGTTTCTGATGAAACTGAAATTACAGATTGGGCAGGATTTGGTGCTGGCATGCATGTGCTTATGTGAAGGTATATATACAGCTTCATACTCTGGCACAGGCCAGGTGTACAGGGGAAAAAGGACTCCCTAAAAGCCATGTGTACTCAAATAGAGAAAATAACTTTTTAAAAAAATGAATTAATTCAATCAGCATTTTCTTTTTTGGAAGATGATTTTATTAGGATGTTAAAAGGAGAGAAGGTTCAAGAAATTTGCTAGAAATAAAATAACAAGGAAAAGAAGGACAGGTTTCTTGCTGATGGAAAGGGTGATTAAATAACAGATGACCCTGAGAAAACAAGCTTGATTTGTGAATTTTAAAGATTAGACATCCCAAAAAAGGGTCAAATATGGTCAATATTAACAATAATGTGTTAAAAAACCATGTCTTAAAATGCTCAACTTAGTTGAATATATTCAGGTTGAGAGGGCTGAATATTTCAGTGAAGCAGGGAATTTGGCAAAGCAATTTTTGAGCAATAAGATGATAATGATTGTATTAATATGTGAACTAAAGAAATACAGTGAAAAATTACTATAATGGGAGGCACATCAGAATTAATATAAAATCATAAATATCAAATAGATTAAACTGGAATGACTGTCTGGGGACCAATTGTAGCACTTTTCCATTAATCTTTATCATCTAAATGATTACACTTTTGTTTTTAACGATACTACACTTGAGGGAATTCTGCTCCCTTTGGATGACAACTGGCAGAAAGCAAAGGATCTTGGAAAGTGATCTTGAAATCTGGAGAATTAAAATTAATTAAAGATGGATGCAAAAGACTATGAGTCATTGAAGCAGGGCATGTACTGTAAAGCCACAGGGGGATAATTGTGTGTGGAAGGAAAGCATCATTCCTGGTTGCATTAACAGGAACTGGTATGGAGGCAGTGAAATTTCCATTTTGGTTCTTGGTGGGATTAGGGAAAACTCAACTGAATTGCTGCATTTAAGTTAGGCTTTTTGGGCTCACTTGAGAAAAAAACAGAGGACAGCATAATAAACAAAAAAACGAGATAGGAACTACTGTGTGAAGCAAAATTTAAATTCAGAGAGAATAATGTGGAGGTGGAGAGACTATTCCACAGCAGAAGGTCCTGGTGGATTACAGCAATGCAGCTATGTTAGAAAACACATGCAGGGCCCAGCCCAGGTGGTGTGTAAATATTGTGTGGTGTCACCTGTGCCGAGCTGATGCTGCTGCAGCATTGCTGTGCATTGAGCAAACTGCAGTCACTTCAGTTATGAGTTTGGGTGACCAAATGAATGCATTCAGCCTCCCAGGAGTTTGGTGATGGGCTGCTGTGTTTAACTTGTCCATCTTGGCTGGAAACACTTTCTGTTCTTCATACACTTCAGGTATCTACAGGGCTGAGAGTTTTTAGCAGCTTCGTTTGTCCTTCCAGTTTTTGTGTGGAGGCCACTCCATTTTCCTTTTGACACTTAAGTATCTAGCCACAGCTAATATTTATCTTCTCTTCTAAAAAATATATTGATTTCAGTGGGGTTTGTGTTTCCTGCAATCCAACAAAACCAAGGATTGTCTCTATTAGCATACCGAGTGAGGTATTTCTGCTGGTAGAGTTCTGTTGGTGCCAATAGATGCTTTGTGTATCCCAGCTACATGAAACTTGCACTTTACATGAAACTTTTAATAGTTAATGTGTAACTTTCTTGTGGTAGTGGCAGTCAATAAATCCCATTCAAGATAAATCAGATCACCATTGCACATTTATGCTTGAAAGCATTTGTGAGATGAGATGGATCAGATAGGACCATAATCTTCTGCAGATGCCAGGGAAAAGATGATGTGGTGCTTTAGAGTTTATTTCTTCATGGGGGTAGATGCATCAGATTTTAGTATCAAAGTCCACCTATTGGAGGGGAGGAAATTCCATTCTGGATTTTTTTTTTTTTTTTTTTTTAACTTTGACTTCTGGATGTTTCTGGAGCATCCCAGTAGCCAAGTGTGATTCCTGGTACAAACACTCCAGGCCTTTATGCAATGTCTGTTCTGCCTCAGTAAATGGATGGAATGGTTTTACCAGTTTGGAGTGAGCCTTAAAGCTGCTGGTCAAGATTCAGGAATTGTTGGATGTTGTAATATGAACATATCTTGTCTTAGATTGCCTTTCTTGGAAAGTAAGTGGCAGATGGCACTTCTGGACTAAGGTGATAGTTAAAATTAAATGTGCTGTTCTTTTCAGATGCTGATGTAGATAAAGGATTTTACTTGTAGTAACTGCTACATATGTTTTAAAGAATTACATCACATAATTGGGTGATTAGAATCTGGGTAAATTCGTGATTAATCAAACTCATGAGTACATGTAAGGTTTTCAGTTCTAGCATCTGCAAAGGAGGGGTATTTCCCATCAGTTTTTACTTTCTGTAGATTTTTGTCATATTTCTCACCTCTTTTCCAAGAAGATCTTGAGACCATGATTATTTTGTACCATTTTGGTATTTTAACAAATTATTTTTTGTAAATTAAAAAAAAGTCATATTTTGTCATTCATCACATCAAACTAATGGACCAGCGAGATAAAACACTGTTCAAATGCTATTACTGTTCACTGGAAAAATCAGATTTTAGTGATCTCAATTTAAAAGAACATTTCATGCATTTGGCAAAACTTGTAGCATTTAAGAGAAGAATGATCTACTGTAAATGTGAAGACATTCAGTAAAGAGGTTTGGCATGGATCTTTCATCTTCCAGTTGGGAGCTGGGAAAGCAGTTAGTTTTAGATAACCAACTCAGATCAAAATTTGGATAAAAAGACTGTTCCAGTGGAAGCTTTTATGCAGGTCATTTTGTCATTGCATTACCTTCATCATAATGACTAAATAGGTCACTTGGGTATAGGTATGTGCAGTGAAGATGTCTATTTGAAGGTCTTCACATATGAATTACTTGTTGGACTTTAATACGAGTTCTGAAAATGGATAATTAGGAGAGGTTCATTCCTGAAATTGAAATGATTTTTTCATTTTTTAATGGATGTCTTTGTTCAGATTAAATAGCTACAGTAATTTTAGTCATTATCACGTGTGGGTCTGACTCCTGAAGATTTTAGCCATCTGTTTGTTTAGCACAGACTGTGCTATAAAAGTTGATTTTGTGTATTGACTGTAATGTGATTTTTGTTTTTTGCAAACTCTGATATTTCAGATGGCTCATAAATTACTGTTGTGAGCTTTGTATAACTTTCATTCCATGTTCCTGAACGGTAGCATTGCTCCCTAACTGTTCTGAATCAGAATGGGTTTGATGAACCATATTCCAGTGTCCTATGGCCCTTTTCCCTGGCTGCTGGTATACTTTCTAAATGGCACATGGCCCTTTCTAGAGACTCACTTGACTTCCCCAGGGCAGCAATTCAAACAACCAAGGGCTTGCATATTGTGCAGAGGAGAGAAATAGGGAAGTGAGTCACTGGCCATGGATGGATGCAGTGCTGCACTGGAATTCAGGCTGATTCTCTGCTAGTTTTTTCATGAAATCCACTGTGTGAATTCAGAAAGGGCGTTTTGTGCCTGAGAGGGCTGACTATGCCCTTCTAAAGAGCTTAAATGCTGCTCTTTGCTCTTGTTCATTTCCACTGAACGGCACTTGGGACAATTTTGATGTCAGGACAATAATAATAATAATAATGATCCAGCCAATTCTGGAGGTGTGTAATATATATATACATATGTCTTTGTGTATGTACCATGGATGTATGCACACACACATTTTTGTGTGCACATGTGAATTGCATTTTTCAAGACTTGGAACTATAATACATTGCAACTTAGCCAGAGATGTTGGTGGGCCTGATATCAGTTTAATCTCTTGCACCACTATTAAAAACTGTTCTACATTTTTCTCTGTTCTTCTTGTCTTCCTTTGTACAGACTGTGCATAAAGTTATGTTTCTTGTTTAGAGTATCTTCTAGTTCTTTGTCACTCATATGCTCAGATTGTAGTTATGAAACAAAGTTGTTGACAGTGTTTCTTAATGTCAGAATTAACCTCATTCTTTATCATTCTCTCCTAAAAAGAAAAATTTGCAGTGCTATTTGCAGTTGAGTGGTCACAGTGCTGATGTTTCCCTGTGTGGTAACAGACTGCACAGAAAATTACATGTGTGCTGCTGTGTGAAGGAGGCATTTTTGAGGAGATAATTGCTATACCTTTTCTTGACCTTTAAAATATGACCTTTCTCTTGATGTAACTTCAATGGAAATTTGTATTTATTTGAAGTTGACAAAGAGAAGGACGGTTTGGACTAATTTCCTTGTAAGAAAATATAAATAGTGCGATTTACTACTGTGAAAAACTGGAAAAACTAGGTATTGCATAATCACAAATGTAGAGTTTTAAAAAGGCTTTATGAAGTATATTACCTTAATACTGATCTTTGAACTTGTAGTCATAGCATAAAGTTTAACATGAGCGACAGCAACATCCTGACCAATTATCCAAATTATCCAGACATCCCAAAATGTTCAGAACACAACACACAGAGTCTGTGGATTAAGAGGTTAACTCCTGGAACATCAAAAGAAGTGCATGATAATAAAAACAAATAGTACAAAAATTTGAGGTAACTTCCTTGCTTAATTAATTAGGTAGACCAGGTGGAAGCGAAGAGGCCAGAGCTGGTGCTCAGAATGTCTATAAAGCTGAGCAACATGACAGCACAATGGAGGAGGAACAAAGATTTTTTTAATATACTTCTATCCTGTGTCACAGTTTGAAATTGTCCTGGTTTATGTCCCTTTTGGCAAACTTACATAAAAGTGACCCTGTACTGTATTTTATGACCAGATGACTTTTTTCCCAGTGGCTAATTTGTATCAGACCCCCATCTTAAAGAGACACAGAAATGAGTAGGAAGTCCAAGCC